CCACCACCACCACCACCACCCCCAAAACGGACCCGCGATAGGTGCGCTGGACTAACACAGGGGCCTGATTGGAGTCCCGCAAGCATTATTTGTAATGCGCACCCATTGCAAATACCAACGTTGGGGTGGCGTTGCATGCCCAGGTGCAGACAGATGCCTCACCAATTGAAATCGGAGCTGCCCCCCATTTCGGTTGATGTCCGAAATCCTGATTAGTGTACATTGTGGACCAAGGACTGTGTTGGTAATACATCTAGGTGTGAGTCATCGCCGTGCCTGCCATCTGTGCTCTCTCCAACTCCCCGGTCATGTTTGATACAGGCAGCAAGACATAACATTTCAGGTTTCACCCCCCAAGTGTGTACAAGGTTGATCGAGAAAATTGACTCCCTGGCTGTCTGCCTGGATCTCCTCATGTACGCTTAAAGTCCGCGTGGATGCCACATTCGGTAGCAGGGGGGCAGAGCATGCTCGAGATGACCAACTGGACCCACGGCACTTTGTACGCTCAAGTGGACAGCTGCCCTTGAGAGGTAATCATCCCGTCCGGCAGAGCAGAACAATGTGTGTCAGGGAATCAGGATGCGGAAGGCAGGTGAATCGGAGCGTTTGATAGCCAAATGTTTGGATCACGGAGAAGCGCAAAGGGGTAAGACACTTGTCTATATGATGGCTACCGGTAGAGAATAGTACGTCTCGGGTGTTGCCGAAAAAAGCTGTGCAAACGACCAACCCTGACTGATGGAAGGCAAGTACATCGAAACGTTGGATACTCAAATGTTTCGGAGAACTTTGAAATGCTGTTCTAGGAGGACTGACAAGATATCAAACGAGTGATTACCAGTTAACAGCCATACGAGGTCACAAAATGCTATAAAGATACATAAACTTCGGTATAAAATTGCGTCTTCTTCAAATTTTATGCTCGGAGGAAGGGTACAATTCGGTTTTCAAAAAGTTTCTACTTGTGAGATTTTTTAATACCGTGAAATGGCCGTTCATAAAATGTCATGTCTGTGCATTTACCAGTATGGCTTGTAAAGTTAACAATATGGGTGAAATCCCCTGCTAAATTTTATGAACCCCATATAGTCTCCTCTAAGTAACGTAGAGAAATGTATGGTTTTCCGTACGCGGAAAATATGCGGCTTTTAGTTTGAAACCCTGTATGCAAGTGTAACGGCAGGTCGGGTTCAAAATTATTCGGGAATTGGAAAAGTTTTTAAAACCAAATTAAACCCTTCCTCCGAGTATAAAATCGGAAGAAGACGTAATTTTCTACCGAATGAGCAAAAATATGAATATTTTTATGCATACATTCTATGAGATATAATTGCACTTTTAAGGCATCGAAAATTAGTGAGAAAAATGCATGCTATTTGAGTTGTAATTTTTTACAAAATATAGATTTTGCATGCAGCCGGAAAGAAGTTCTTTCGAAAGCCAGCATCCCGAGGTAACTGAATTAGTATGGAATTACGATTCACAATAATTAATTTTACAACGCTACTTAATTAATCTTTTTGAAACGGAAACGCATTTCGGAATCTCGGTTGACATTTCATGAGTCACCCCACCTGCTGTATATAAATCACAGTTGATCTGAATCCTCTTCCGTCGTGCACTGTAAGAGGGAATTTTTAACCTCCCTCCATACTATAAGAGTGATTCTGAACAAACACCGCCAAAGTGCATGAAGGCGGCTGAAAAATGATATGACTGAATGAAACCTATGAACGGACCAAACCGAACCGTTCTATGAAATGGTGTGTATAGCGTTCTCCTCAAAGCAGACAAGTTACCTAGACTAATTATCTACTGGTTGGACTCAGAACGACTCATTGATAGGGCTAGATTCCGAAATTGTTGGACGTACGACTGGGTATTTCGACTGTTGAGGGCTGCTGGGTAGAACTCATCCTTTCCTTTATTCTCATACATGTAAGGATCTATTTTCACGAACGACGGTACATCGGCTCGTCCGTGTTTTATAACTCGGGATTTTAGAAGCTCTCTGAACGCCAGATGCCTCCCATAGCTAGCTGGCCCTCCTGATTGCAATCCACTAAAGTGTGTTTGTGACTAATTTTAAAGGAGAATTCACTGAACACCGACACTACATATGCATTCTCAGTTTCTAGGTCGATCCTCCGAATGCCAGGAATATGATAAAGCAAAAACAAACCGAATTTTCATATCAGCAGAATGCAGGAGCGAGTGGGAATTGTTCTTCTGTCCTAGGATTGATCTGCCTGATATTACTAAATTAGTTAGTTCATCCTGCTGACTTTTTGAGTGACTTACCTAGAAGCAGACTGATCTGACGTGCGGCGAATTAAAAAAGTAATCAAACCTTGCCTATCCTTCACTGGGGAATCCGACTTTTGGCCAAGTATATGTGAGCATGTGAGGTGAACGCTCCTGATTCCTGTTGGATAACTGTCTTACGCCCCCCCCCTATTTAATTTTAAAATTGGGGTGCATACCAATTAAGAAACGGAGAATCTCCTCAGGACTGCATCATACAACAGCTGAATGGCGGTGAAGCTCGTGTCCTGGTCTTCAGCTAGTACCTGTACAGAGCATATGTTGAAATCATTTCCATGTACTGCAAATATACTGCTTCCTGGTAGTTCAAATAAATGATCATCGTGTGGCTACGCCGTCGAAGTTGTCAGTGTTCAACTCCGATGTTCGCAGGAATTCCTGAACGCATGTTAAGAGGCGCGTCCCTTAAACGTTGCCAAAAGTTGACACTTACGAATCAGGTCAAAACCGACAAGTTCCGTTTGTTGGTTTTTTTCTCTGCGCTTTTGAACGCTGTAGGATAGCTGTCTATCCAGTTTAACACCACATATGCCACCCCATAAGCGCCTGTTCCATAGCGGGGTGAGAACAGAGACGGTGACCTGTGCGTGAGTTCTCTTATAGTGATCGTGGACTTGAGCAGCATCTAACGCACTCTTTCTTCCTATCCCACCTGGACTTGGCATCAGGACAGGGCGCAGGTGACTGTCACCGCGAAAATCCGCACCTAGACGTATCACCACACCCCCTGGTTTACGACGTACACTGACCAGGATTTTATACGACAAGAAAAGTGGGGGGCGGCACGGGTCCCAATGGGCGCTGCACGAACCTGCACATAGGTGTGCCACCACACTCCGAAGGTTGGCATTTGTTATGGGTATGCATTCCCGACAACGCCTGCTGGACTCCGGTTTAGCTTCGGTGTTGACCCAGCGCATCTACCGCGTGAACTGTTTTTAAAGGGCAAATGGCTGTTGACTTATTGCGCACTTCCGTTATAAACGCTAAAGCGGCTAGATCGCAGTTTGTAGCCAGGAATAAGGAAGCGGACGGCAACCTTAACCCTAACCCTGGCCTCAGCCTTAAACGTTAACCGTTGACCTTATCGGCAACCCTAACCTTAACCCTAACCGAAATCGTTAACGGAACAGTAGCCCTTAGACATAGCCGTAACTGAAAAACCAAACCGTAATGCTGAAACCTAATCGTACGCTCAAACCCTAACCGTAACCAGAAAACCTAGGCCTAAAGGCATAAACATAACCCGAAAATCAAAAACCATTAACCGGTACCCGAATTCTAACCTCGAACGTAAAACGGAAGCCAAATAGGTCAGATGTGATCATGGAACCCCACAAAATAGTCCCAGTAAACAACCCCCCCCCGCCACCATTAATACGGGGCCTGGCTACCAACTGCGATCTAGCCGCTAAAGCTGATTATCTCAACGGAACCCGGAAAAACATTTATCTTCCCACATTCGACCCGACACAGTTAAAAATATAGCCGGTACAACAGAGATGCCAAAAGTTATCTTAAAAATGTCGTAGGAGGGCAGAATTCGGGTGGCTGTATCGACGATTCGACCGTCGATTCCGACGATGTCCACCGTGTGCTACACACCAAGGTGCAGCAGGCACGGTGACTCGCGCGTGAATTAGTTTATGGCGATAGTAGGTTTGCGCAGCATCTACCGCACTCTCCCTTCCCACTCCCCACCTGGACCCGGTCTGAAGACAGAGTCTAGAAGACCGGAGGGCGTAGGTTGACGGCACGGTAGAGCCCGCACCTTGGCGTGTCACCACACCCCATAGTCCGCACAGCAAACGACTAGGTTTTTGACAAATAACAACAACAACACCCCAACAGGGGGTCAAAAGAACGAGAATAACTGGGTAGCCATGCCCACCACCTGCATACCCTGCAGGATCGCAAGCGCATCTACCGGCAGGGGATCAGGTGTCGGGGAACTGCCAGCGCATGCCAGGCTGGGAGGGCCATGGTTTGCTGATACTGACATAGAACACGCTTCCAGACCTTTTGACCTAGAAGAGCAACACGTGGCCCTGAATTTAGCCTGGGCCGTTGCCCTTCAAGGTTAGGTAACCAAACAGTCGTCGACTGAGAGGCACTACCCATAAAGCACACACACAAACTCCTCACATACACGAAAGCGTCACAGATCTCCTGAGAAGGGGCGGTGACAGCCTGGCTCTCAGCCCACCAGTCCGCCACTCCACAAAGACACACACTCAACTGGGTAGACTGAGTGCACTGAGTTGGGACGTCAGTCGTCTGCATTCCGAGCCATGGCGCTCGACGCACCGTCTTCGTCTCAGATTCCGATCACATATACAGCCAATGTCCCACTATGCCCTTGTGCGATGCCTATATGCCAGTCCTTCAGGTTTGAATCCCTGTCCGTGTTTTGTGTTGGGTCTCACGAACAGGAGAGGGGGGCCAAATTCAGGCAAAAAACCCACTAGTGCAAGCCAACGTCCAAGGAGCTCATGATCCGGTCACCGTGGTTGGGTCAGAGTTAGTTGGCGGCGGAGGGGAGGAAGAGGCGGGCGGAGGGACGACAGTTGGTGCGGTCCGAGAGGTACAGTTGGTCCGGAGGTGTCCAATAAGTCCAATTCGTATCCGGAATGTCCGTTGACATCGAGGACACGTTGGAAGCGGTTGTGTGTCGACGTTGCGTACTGGGCGCAGTTGTGATTTGCGGGCTTCGCGCTTCACTTTGGCGGAGGCGATGCAGTTGTCTTCATAGATCGCAGCGTCTGTCTTCACTTTCCTCCTCCAGGTCGGTCGGTCGGTCGGTCGGTCGGTCGGTCGGTCGAGGGTGAGCTCTTCCCAGTTGGTCGGGTTCATTTGCAGACGCTTCAGGGAGGACTTCAGAGTATCCTTGTATCGACGAATTTGGCCTCCTTGACGGCGAGAAGCCGTAGCGACGTCTCCGTAGAAGAGTCGTTTGGGTAGTCGCTCGTCGTCCATGCGCACCAGGTGGCCGCTCCAACGCAGCTACATTTGTCTCCGCGTGGTGTAGATACTAAGGATGCCTGTCCGTTCCAATACATCAGTGTCGGGGATTCGATCCTGCCAGTTCAGTCTCAGGATGCGACGAAGACAACTGAGGTGGAAGTAGTTCAGTCGGCGTGCCTGCTTTGTGTACACCGTCCAAGTCTCCGCTCCGTACAGCAGCGTCGGCAGGATACACACACACACACACACACACACACACACACTCAACGTCCCACTATGCCCTTGTGGACTGCCTATATTTCAGTCTTTCAGGTTTGGCTCCCTGTCCGTGTTTTGTGTTGGATCTAACGAACAGGAGAGGGGGGCCAAATTGAGGCAAAAACCAACTAGTGCAAACCAACAGACCCATGCTTCTAGTCCTACTCTGTTTTTGGAATTAAACGAAGGATATTGCCTGGCTGCCTGTGTGTCTATGGAATTCAAGTCAACCTGCTTCCTTGTCGTTTGTTCTGTCGAGCGGTTTACGTTTGCCCTGAAGAGATACGGTGTGGTTTTGGTGCATAATTGAAAAATGGAGCAGTAAGCGGGATCGCTCACATTTCTCACATTTCCGACGAACTTCTCAGCTATCGGGACACACGAGATGTCATTGTGTGAAAGGTTGCAAATGGCGGCTGAGTGTCATCCCAATCCGAACTAGGAATCAAGTTTCACTCGCTCCTTCAAAATGGGACCCACCTGGATGAGAAATTCGAGACCCCCTTTGGAGTCTGCCTTGTATGAACACAGGAAGCGACACATGTGAGGCCTTCCTAGATGTCATTTGACCTACGGGGCCACGGTAGCTACATCCTTGTGCAGGCATTTGGACGTTGTCTTGCCCCGGGGACATGGTCGGCACGAGAAGTTGTCAGCGAAACGTCCCCGTTAATTAGCTATACCGACAAAAGTGACGAACTATTGCTGAATGGTTGAGGATCGGTTAGCGGAGAGAGCCTTTTCTTTTTATCATGGTTGTCGCGCCTGGCGCAATCAGAGAGGTGGAGTTCATGACAAAATGCTGGATGACACTTCGTCAGTTTGTGCTTGGGGAAGCAACATTATCGGATCGAATAGGAGCTGTTTTCTGCGACCAGCGATAGTCACACTTGGGGTTCACGAATAAGTTCGCTGTGCCTGCATTTGACTAGATGTGAGACGTTTGTATTCTTCTGGGTTCGCAGTAGCTACAGCATTTAGAAGTAAGATGTTACTTTGAGGCGATAGTGTTAATTTTGTAATTTTCGCTCCCACCCATGAGTCATGGTGGTTGGGGGGAGACTTATCCTGTCTCTGAGTTTTTTTGCATTTTATTCTCACTAGTTCTGATTCAAACGAACGAATGGAAAACAATTTTCCCTTTTAAGTTGCTGAAAACTGAAGGATCATACTGGGGTTAAACTGTCCTCATCTGCCAGGGAGTCAAAACTGTCACACACACACTGCATTTCTCCAATGAGTTATGCCAAAAATATGTTCCATTGGTGCTCACGTAGGCATTCATTACGGATGCAGTCTCCTACCCGGTATCATTAACTTTATTTTCAAACTATGGTTATTGGATTAACCTGATGGACAAGAAATAATGCCGACTGAGGTAGAGCAGACTCCTGTTCAGGGCTCCGTTTGGACATATTTTACACCCGCTGCGGTCGCTAACTTTCTGCCCGTGCCTTTTCTCAGTAACCTCCTCTACTTAAATTTCTGTCCTGGCTCAATGAGGAATTTCGATTGGCCTACCGCATAGTGCGCTACCCAAGTAAAGTGGGCTTGTGGGGCAAGGAGAATGCTCTTAAGTCAAACAAACGAAGCTAAATGGAATCTTGAGGGAACTTCCGCGGTTAATTGGTTTTTGGAGAAATTCCGACGTAAGGCACTCCCTCGGAATACTGATAAGATGTTCTAGAAAAGTGTGTTTTTCTAAAAGTGGTGGTATGACATCCAAGGTTAGTCCGACTGCCTTCAATCTTTTTCGTGCAAGGAGAACACGTACAGTATCCAAACAAATCTCATGAAATGTTAACCGAACTGTGTTTTTGATTATAAAGGATTACTTAGGCGAGTAAATAATAGTAGCTGTCATATAACGTAATCTAAAAATATTTTATTCACGCCAGGACCCCTTATTTTGAGTGAGCTTCCTTCCGGCAATCTACAAAATCCGCACCTCGTAAAAAATAGTTATTTAATAAATATGGATTTTTCGCGTTGATTTTCTATGTCCTGATAAATGTAAATATATTTTACAGGAAACATGCACAGGAGTAATATCTCCTGCGTTCCTTTGGGCAATAAATCACCTTTTCTCCGAAATTTATACATGAAGAGAGGATGTATTTCAGTTTAAAAATGCTTGTTACTATAAAAATCTCAAGATTGCCAAATGTTCATTAGTGATCCTTGTAGTTTATGCGGCGCGGTCCGCAGTGGGTGCAGAATGTAATAGGCATATTATGCAGGCATGCAGAGTTGTACGCCATTTCCCAGCATCAGATGACTGACCGGCTCGGACAGCCGACCGTTGCATGGAAGAGGGAAGAGAGAATGGGAGCGACACTGTGGACTGCGTCCCACGGCACCTCAGTACATTTCCTCACTACAAACAGTCTGATGCTCTTTTTAACTCACGACGCAATGAAAGCCGAGGCTCGAGGTGCTATTGATTGACTGGCTAATTCCGTACTCCTCTCACGACAGAGGGTAAGGCTGCAATATATTCTTCTAAATGCGGCCTCCATGATATTCCCGCTTAGATGCGATCAGAGCCGTCCACTGTTGTTTCTGTGAAAAGCCGGTTCCCCGTGCCCAGGCCAGACGTGTGGGACACGTGTAGACGGGTTGTTTAGTTTTGTCAGCCCCCCACGCAGTCTCCGGTCATTTTTAATCTGTCCCGACACCGGGCTTAATTGAATGAAGGAGGAGAGAGTATGGTAGGTGTAAAGCATGTGTGCTACCCCTATAGATTAATTCACATGCAAGGCACCCTCCTGCGCTCGTCAGGCTGTACGACACACAGTGGACACCATGGTTCGTGACGGTCAAACGGGTGAGTAAATGGATACACACAGGCCCACGTGCGCCTCCTCGAAAAAGACAATCTCATGTAGGTAGACCACAAAAATCATGCGACAGAATGCAGTCCCTGACCACTTTCCTAATTAGCGAGTCGAATAGTGTGTCGTCCGATATGAACTGTTGTAGTGGCATAACATGCAGACATGCAGACTTCAGTGAATTTTTTTCGGAGAAAATGTACGTCATGTTGCTTAGAAAACTAACAGACCACTGAAAATCGGGTGGTTGTTTTAAACCATATAGATGTGAGGAAGGGTTCTTGAAAGTTATATTTGTAATTTGTTTCAGGTATCAAGAGTGAACCGATTCAGCCATGATAAATTAGTTGAAAAAACTACAGACTATCTTTTTCCTGTGAAATTTATGCAACTGATTTAAAGGCGCTCCATTCACAGATCAACATTCTGCCGCACAAGCATCGGCTGAGGGTTACGATTCCCGTCAATCGGCTTTGCAGTCACAAGTAACCTGTTCTACTCCAAAGCATGTCGAAAACGGTTGGTCGATATTCCGTGAAGTTAAGGATTAACAGAACGCAGTTAAGCCCCTAAAATATTTTTCCTTTTCCGCGTTGTTGCATTCCTCACAATCGGTGGTATTTGATTGGCCGATCACTGATGCGTATCTTGAGCGCATTCACGCGCCACGTACAAAGAATGGTGGCGATGCCCTGCCAAACTTAAGCGGAGGCCAAACAGACTATAGCACGCGTTAGATGATGATATTATTGTACGTGCCTCTGATAGTTCGATCGTCGTTGTCGACAATGTTCACCGTGTGCTCCACAACAGGGTGAAGCAGACATGGTGACTTGCGCGGGAATTTGGTCTATAATGAATGCAGAATTGTGCTGCATCTACCGCGCTCTCTCTTCCCCACTCCCCACCTGGACCCGGTGTCAAGACAGAGTCAAGAAGACCGGAGGTGGGAGAGGCACAGGTAGATGACACGGTCGAGCTCGCACCTTGGCGCTCCCCTTCCCACTGCCTGTTCCACACAGTAAGTGACCAGGATTTTAACCACCAGCTACAACAACACAAGGGGATGGCGCGGCCGAAGCCGCACCTAGGCGTGCCGTCACACCCGACTCGGATCCCACGGGCTCTGAATGCCATAGAGGCCGTATTAAGTAGGAGCCACTGCGGCTTGACTCTTAAACCACCAGTCGGCCGCACTGCTCAAATACACAAAACTGGGCCGACTGTGAGGTCCAAGTTATCCTGTCAGTTGTCAACATTCCAAGCCACGGCTTTTAGTACACCGTGATATCTTCAAGCGCGCTGGACTGTTTGTAGTGAGTAAAGTGCGCTGAGACGTCGGCCTCACTCTCTCTTCCCATTCCCCAATTGCAGTCACTGTCCGAGCTGGTCAGTTTACATGTGCGGGGAATGGGCGCGTACGTACTTCACTGCACCTGAATTCGCCTTCAGACGGCATACTTTTAACTTTCCTCCGGTGCATGAGGGAAGGGTGGAGAGAGAGATTGGAGCGGATACGGCACGAACCTTTCGAAATGAAGCAAACCTGAAACACGTTCAGAATGCCACTACATGCTAAAGGTCGTGACTTGGGAGACGACCAACTGTCGGAATACTTTGATCCTTTGCACTAGAGATCGGATTTCAATGGCCTCTTAGCGCAGCACTTTTGGTAACTCTCAGTTACGGTAGTCACACGTTCACTTTGAACGAGTGGTCAGAACGCGTGACGTACGAGTGGCCGCCACCTTGTGTGAAGTGGGCCACTGTGTCAACCACCCAGACTCTTCAAGAAAGGACAACCTATATGAAAGTGAGCGGGTAGGTAGATGTGTTGACAGTCTTGTTAAGTATAATCCGCCCTGATCGCAAGTCACTACAGCCCCCCCCCGGACGAAGCTGGGGGACGCACAGGCACAC